CCGACCAGCATCGTTTTGGCCTTGTCTATTCACAAACCACTGGGACTCAGGACTAAGGCAAATCCCAGTTTAGCCACCAATCAGCACCGTAGTTGTAGATCCCATCATTCATCTCCTTCTTTTTTGAGAACTATTAAGGGAGTTCAGAAAAATTTAGGACAACCATGGATAACTACTGACCAATTGCTAGGCTACTCAAGCGGCAATTACTCAGTCAAAAAGGAGAGCCACAAAAGTCCTTTGAATGCTCAGAACCCCTGGAATCCCTAACAAAACCCTCTAAAATTCTCTAACACTATCTTATTCTCTGTCGAGCTCTCCCGGCCTCATGCCCCTACTCTGCTAGGTTACAGGGCAACAGGACTCACACCGGCTTCGGCTAGCGTCGTCCCAACATCAACCCTTGGTTTTCCCTTGGAATGCCCGCCCCAAGGCATCCCCAAATCTCTCTACCAGGCCTCACACTCCTGCTATTAACAGGTTACAGGGCAACTCCCCAGCACCGGCCAGCGTCGTTCTGGCATCGAAGAACCGCAAATCCATGAATATAACAGCATCAACGAAGCCTAAACTGAATTGCAAGAAGTACCCGGAATCCTAAAGCATTCTCAAGACCACCAAAAACAATCGAGAACAATAAAATTGTTTGTGAAAATTGAGAACGAATTAGGATAATTTGGCACCCGAAATAATCAAAACCACGTTACCCCGGTGCTATTCAACAGACCATCCTACAACTGCCTTAACCCACCTATCCTCGATACCAAGCTCTACCAGGCCTCACACCCCTAGCCACTGGGTTACAAGGCGGCACGACCCACCCCAACTCCGACCCGCATCATCTTAGTAACATCTCGCGGTTAGCCACTAAATTGCCTTCCGGGCTTCCACCCTCGACAATTTCCCAGATCTCTCGACCAGGCCTCACACCCCTACATAACTCAGGTTACAGGGCAGCGCAACCAAACCCCGGATCCGGCCAGTGTCGTTTTGGCATCGGCCAACCTTGAACTCGTGGATATGATGGTGAAACCCGCCATAGGACGATCCGCTGAATCCACCACCGCGATCAAGGTTTCAAAATATTTGGCTCCCTCGTGCACTGCTCGTGCTTGACATACCTAGAGCACCTTCCCGCTAATCTCCACTCCGGCAAGACTTATCACGGTGGAGCCACCATCTCCATCGCTGTTGTGCCCTATTTCCGTCCTACCAACTAGCCCCCTCGCCAGCAGGACGGATCATATCCTTCCAATTACTAACCCCACTTAGCCAAAAGGCACTCACCCCTACCTATGCGACCCCAACATGGAGGGGTGACGTGGAGAGAAAAAAACCCACCATCCAAATCGAAGTATATCAAACACGATCAATGCAAAAACAAGGTACTAGAATACAACTCTGTAGGGTGAAATTCCGACACTTACGAATTAAAGGTTTTCAACTCGATTATAAGATCAATATCCATACACGGAAATTGTTCACGAAAAGCAAAACTTAGATAAAAAACAGGATTCTACTATTTGCAATTGCAGATTATAACATCAGAAGTAAAAAACATCAAATTATGCGGCTGAAATTTGGAAAACAAGATTACGAGATTAGTTTTGATGTCCAAATAGACTTACAAATCTTACGGCTGTGGTTTTCAAATCCAAGGATACAGAAAGTAGCTCAGAAAATATACCAAATGTTGTAATCTGAAGACTAATTTAGATGGTTATATGAGTACAAAATGAAGTAGTTGATTGTAAACTTTGACCATCAATCTATGAAAGAAAGAAATTACGGATTCAAAATCAGACAAAAATCAGATTTACAGATCATTTGTCGGATGTTGAGATCAGCAACATTCAATTCACCATCCAAGATAATATCAGGAAATAGACTAGGTTTCGATTTGCAAAACATCAATGAGACATCCCTAACCATCAAATCATCTATCGGAGTAGTACTTAGGGTTAAATTCTGAAAAAAATGCTGCACTCAAAGCTCCCGTGGCTACTAACGCCGCCTTGAACTTCACCTGAAGTCACCAATCACTGCAGACCATCACGCACCGCTGCGCTCCAGCAGTCCCCTTGTCCAGCTGCCCAAACGCTGTCCAGACCAAACTCAGCCCCTGCCTCTTCCTATAGAAGGAGCCACTCCTCCCCACAGCCGGTGCTAGTATAGCCCTACGACAAAGTGCACCAACCAGAAGAGATTAATGGGACGCCCCTGCCTCCCTGTTACTCCCCGAACGTGGTTGCGTTGTGAATGACCATGATGCGCCCGTCAACACAGCTTCACAGAGAACTCAGTCCAAATCCAACGACCCACAGCGAGAGACATAGATTAAGCACAGAAGACAGACAGACCCCCGCCCACACGGCTACTCAAACCACACGCCAACCGCATGCCCGTCCTGTCTCCACATCCACCGAAGTCTCTAAGAAGCGCCATCGCCACACATGATTTTGACCCACCGTGCCCTCGTGAAAGCGCCATCGCAGCTTCACATCTCAATGCGCGTTAGTGCACTCTTCTTTTCGGCCCGGCCACTGCGCCCACCTCCAGTCAGGCCCTTTTCCAAAAACCTCGAAACCATGACTATAAGCTGCACCCACCTCCAGTCAGGCCCTTTTCCAAAAACCTCGAAACCATGGCTATAGACCCTACAACACTACAAGGGGCCTTTTCGACTCCCAGGCCTCAGTATATGGTCTTGTTTGCACCGGCCAGGAAGCATATGACCCATTACAATGGTGAGATTCGGTTAAAGCGCGACCGTGCTGAGCGGGAGTTCCGACGAAAGACCTCGCAGCAGCACTCACCAAAATGTCAAAAAGACACAAGTTATGGCTGGTATACGCTTTTCACATCTGGTGTGACTACGTAGTGCTGCGAGGCCCGAGGGAGGCATCGACGTGACCAAGCGAGCCATGCAGAACGATGTCTTTTCTTTTTCTTTTTCTTTTTCTTTTTTTCCTGAGCGTCGTTGTGACGCCCGTCGTCCAATCGTCGAACAAAGAAAACTCAAAAAAGAAATGAATGAAAATGAAAAATGCGGGAAAACAAAGAGAACACAAAAGGAGGAAGAAAACTGCGAAAAGAAATGAATGAAAATGACCAATGCACGTGTAATTGCTGCACTTGCCTACTGTAGCCCAGTTGTAATCCGGATCCGTGTTCGAACTCCACTCGAAGCAGATGAGTGAAATTACTACACAATGATACTACGCAATGAATTTACAAACTTTCCCAAAAAAAAAAAAAAAATCTTTTTTTTATAATATGTATACTACAATTCTAAGGCTGTCGCGCTTCGCAAAAAAAACAAAATGAAGAGGAGGGCCATGGGAAGCTCCAGACGGCGTGGGATCTGAAAATAGCCCAAGGGACGGGAGGGAAATTGAGAGGAGACTTGTCGGTTCTCAGGCAAGGAGAGAGAGGAGGCGAAGAGCGGGGGAGAAGGTGGGGGAGACATCGGGGAGAAGGGAAGGAGAGAGAGAGAGAGAGAGAGACGCGCTTCTGTTCGTCAAAACCGAGAACTCCCGCGCTGTGGCGCAGTTGTGTGTTTTGTTAACTACAGTGCGCGGGAAACGACGAGCGCCTTGAGAACGGCGGCGCAAATAGCCGACACAATTGACAAGGCCGCAGGCACAGACACAGAGAGAGAGAGAGAGAGAGAGAGAGAGAGAGAGAGAGAGAGAGAGAGCGGCGTCGTTAACGGTCGGGCAAGAATAGACGGAGCGAAGGCAACTTGACATCGGTGTCGACTGAGCTTGATTCCGTTCTGTCGCTCCTTCTCTCTTTCTTTTTGTGTGCGTGCGTGTGTGTGCGTGTGTGTGTGTGTGTGTGTGTGTGTGTTCCCGCGTGTTTGTGTGCGCGACTCTTTCTATAGCTCTTCTGATAACGTTGTCATGGATTTTAGAGAGAGTCGGTGAACATTCGACGGAGAACGGGGCTGAGGGCCGGGATCAGGCTCGCATCACGGTCGGCAATGGTGCAAGGAACGCAGCGCAGGAAGGAAAGAACGGAAGGAACGATGTAAAGTACATCGATCCGTGTCTACGGTGTTATTCCCTATTCAGAATCTCTTCATTACTCTTCGAACAGGACCCAGCCTCTCTGCTAGATTAGACCATCTCCTGATTTAATCTTTCCATAGCTCTCTCTCTCTCTACAGGAGGTGGACGAGCCACCGAGCGCAACACTCTCTCTCTCTCTCTCTCTCTCTCTCTCTCTCTGTGCCACACTCATACACACACACACACACAAACACATCCCGCCGTTGATCTCCCCAGCTGGTCGGATACGAGTACGGTTCTGATTTGTGTCCGTGCGCGTGTGTGCGTGTCTGTGGTGCGCGCAAGAGAGAGAGAGAGAGAGAGAGAGAGAGAGAGAGAGAGGGGAATTGTGGAATTGTGCGATCATGGAGTTGTGTGACATCTGCATTTGTATAAATGATAAAATGCAGGAACGGCAACCCGTTGGTGCGGAGGCTGTCTAGGAGAGCTATATATAGGCTGCTGTCTACCCGAGGTATAGGTGTCAAACAAGGCTATAGAGGGCTATAGAGATCTATAACCCCGTGGACACGGTCATGAGTCATGTAGCTATAGAGGGCTAAGGAAATCTGTAGTGATCTATAGCGATTCGATACTGTGAAGAGTTTGTAGATGTACAGCTTTCGAAATCAGTGACCGTTTTTTTTCTGATTGCAGGAGATAGAATCTTGTAAAGCCCATCAACAGAGCGCTTCTCCGGTCTATCTATCTCTACCTCTGATCTATCTATATTTAGCTCTGATTG